AATAAAATTAATGTGATTTTATTAATATTAAACAGAAGCAACGATATTTTATTCTAGGCTCTTGCGGCAATGTCCGTAGTGACTAAATGCTAACGAAATATTCTATAATAGAAAACAAAAGTTCTTTTATAGAATATTTCGTTATCGTTTAATTTTTCCACAAGATACTACAATAAAATGTCAAAATATAATATCGTTTGTGAGCAAAAATGGTACTCATTGTCTACCAGTATTATATTTGCAGCATGTGCGGCAGGAGAATATTGTAAATAGGAAGAGTAAGAAATGAGGATTCCTTGTGAGCTGAACATGTTTTTTTCTAAGGCTAATACATATTAAAAATTGAGTTGCGACAACACTATAGACGATATCTTTCCTACAGACTTATGTGAAAAAGTGATGCAAAAGTAAAGATATATTTTTGGGTGTCGTAATAAGAGAGAAAAGGGTCCAGAAATCAAACTCAAAATGTATTATTATGTTGTTTATTGTATTATTTATATAAAAAAATAAGTAAAACAATAAATAAATAGTAAATACAAAAAAATGAAGCAAGTTATAAAACCAAAGAGAGATAGAAAGAGAGAGAGAGAGAGAGAGAGAGAGAGATAAAGAGACAGATAAAGAGAGAGATAAAGAGAGAGAGAGAAAGAGATAGAGAGATAAAGAGAGAGAGAGAGAAAGAGATAAAGAGAGATAGATAGAGAGAGAGAGAGAGATAGATAGATAGAGAGAAATAGAGAGAGAGAGAGATGCAGAGAGAGTGAGAGAGATGCAGAGAGAGAGTAAAAAGTATGTTCTGTTACTTTTTAAGATTATTTAGAAATACACGAGATTTACCAAATGACAACATAATTTACTATTACTTACCTTCTGTTTCTTTCGTTCAGGAGATTGAGGGGGTGTTTTTTCGTGATAATATTCCAAGCTAGTGTGAGAGTTTGAAGTACTAGCCTGTAAGTAAACAATATGTTCTTTCACTCTTTACGATTATTTAGAAATAAACGAGATTTGCCAAGTAACATAATTCAATATAGCTTACTTTATATTTCTTTCGTTCAGCAGATCGAGGGGGGGGGGGGTTTTTTGGTGATAATATCCCAAGCTAGGTCTTGATTTTGGAGGCAGTTCTATAAGCTTTCAAATTAATAAATATTAAATTGAAATATTTTGAATAAGCACATAATTAAAAATAATTCCATGATTAATACATATTTATTAAAAATTACCTGATTGGGTAAAGCATTTTTTTTCATATGTAGAGCAAAGGGAGATTTTTTATAATCAAATGAATCATCACTAAAATTGTAGTGGCATACACGGGAAGTGCTAAAAACATCTTCTTTATTAACATTTATTGCAAGTAACCATTTATCTCTTAAACTTTTTTCTTTTGGAATACTAAAAAATATAGAGTATGTGTCACATACAATTTTAGGAATGCAAAAATATTTTAAAATTTAAATCTAATAAAAGGCGTCAGTCGCTTGCTTTTATCCGAGTATTTATCTTCAAAATTTAGTGATTCTTATTTTTTGATCTCGATTTTTAAATTTTATAATGTAACACTTTATTAACAATATTTTCGACCTACCCCTCGTAACTATAATATTATTATTTTTAGCTTATATGTCATATTGAAAGTTTTACTTGATTTTAAGACTAATAGGCACAAAATTAATTTCAGTTTTGACTGAAAATAGGATGAACTTTTAAATTTTTTGTATATTATCCTGTATTTTATTTAATATTCTTATAAAACTACTTTTTTTAAACCAACATTTCTTTAGCAACTATGCTTGTTTACTTCTTATGTATGTACCAAAAAGGGCTAAAAACTACCTTTATTAAATATTCTTATAAATCTATATTTTTAAAACAAGATTTCCTTAGTAAATATGCTACTTTACTTCTTATTTTACGCACCAAAAAAGACTTACTACCTACCTTCGGTAAAACTCAATTAAATGTTCAAAATTTTGTCCTTTGGTTTATTTATAACTATAAGTAAGTACTATAAAATATGTTTTCTAAAATATTCGATACGAAATATTTGGAGAAATACCTTAATGCGGATCTGACTAATTCAACATAAAGGAGCATGGCGGTTATGTCAAAATATTAATAATAAATATTTACCGGTGAAAACGAACATATTTATACATCGTGGCATTTTGAACCTAAAACTGAATAGGTAGAACACTTTAAATTGTTAATAACACCAACATACAATTCAAAAAACAGCGGTCAATGTCAATGGTGATTAAACTCAGGGAGGTGAGCGTAGAATAGAAATGACTATTTCGGAGCAATTCGGGTGGCGTCGTAGAAATAATGAATTTCAATTGGTGGGTTACGTGAGGGAGAAACGGACAACATGCGCAGTGTGCAATGTTACATCTCCGGTCTCTTTTATCTAAGGTCGCAAATTATTTAAAATCAACTCAAGTTATCATCTGGAAATGTAGTGAGAGCCCCTGGCCTATAGACCTTAATAATTTACGGGACTCTTATTTCTCTATTAATATTCTTCGTGTACAAGAAGCTGATGCCCAAAATATACAGACCTAAGAAGTTAACCCAGTCTCCAATAGATCCGACCACTGTTCAACTTCCTTCTTCTTAACATCGGAAGTTGAATCTGAGAGGGGACGAATTATGTCAATTCCTATACATGGCCTTGAGGAAGAATGCTAAATATACGAAACTCAGGGTTCTCTCATTATTTTATTCTATTCTACTTACTTTTATCTAATTTAGCTTTGTATTTGTTAGAGATTTATATTTCATAGATAAGTCAGTCAGATGCTAGATTTGAGACTGTCAACATATAAACACAAATAGTTTGTAGTTATTTTCAATAAACGATATTTACAATAGAGTTAAAGTTATTACGAGTTTATTTATGCACACACGTATTCATTATTCAACTGAATCATATTTTAAGTCATCAGCGCGTCGGCGTAGCCCAGTACAGGGTGGAAGTTACGTAAAAAGCAAAAAATAAAAATACAGTACGGCCGAAAGTACCTGATACATGTGATAAGTTAATGGTACAGTTCATCAAATTTCTAGAGGTGTTCGACGCCCAGACAGAGAACGCGCTACGTGTGACTAAGATAGCTATTGTACAGTCTGCTAAACAAGTTATTTTAAATATTTTTAGGTAATTAAATTTTAAAAGTGTGGAATAGTTTAGGGATTAAATTGGTCTGATTGGACTTTCTTAGAACGTTTTTAAAAGCAGCTAAAGATAGTATGTAGAATTGAAAATAATTATTATGCCATAAAACGTGTTTTGGAATTCCTTCAACCTTTTGAAATTGAGTCAGAAAATATAAATTTTATAGGAAAGCGGAAAATACCTATAATTTTTTTATAGGCCTTTGTAAATCGTGGAAATAGTTTATATTTTATTTCTACCTTATTAAGGAAAATGGTACCTATTATTAATAACGGTTGTTTCTGAAACATTACTAAAATTTTCGAAATTTTATTTTTCTACAAAATAATAAACTATACTATTTAGAAAAAAATTTATTTCTCTTATAATTTTATAAAAAATAACAGGGGAATATTTACATTTCTTGATCTATTAAACAAAACGATAAATTATCTCGACGAATGACACCATGTTCTAGTACGGAAGCTAGCTTTACATTTTTGTTGGTGGTTTCATGGGTTTCATATCAATTTTTTGTAATTGTAGTTTACACGTACATATACCTCTTAACACTTGTTTGCTTTATTAAAAAAGTGTGTTGTTGTGATTTACGTCGAAATAAGTCAAAAACAACTTGAAACACCATATAAAATCAAAAAGGAGAAACGGAAAAAAATTGAGCCTGTAAATGAACACAACTCAGAAACAAAAATAGCTATCTAATAATAAAAAAATAAAATTTGATTCTTGTGCAGCTTCATCTATATCATTAACTGTTTTTGGTTTTTTAATGGTTTTTCTTGGTGATGAAAATTCCGATATCTCACGGTTATCGATTCTTTTTTTTCTCTCCAGAAATGCAGACGACAGTGTTTTTAGATACTCCTGTGGCTGCAGCAACACGATCATTTACATTTTTAAATTGTATTGAAGGTGAATTAAAGTTTCCTTCTCTTCTCATAAACTCTATAACATTGGCTATTATTTCGCGAGATTGACTGTTAATCACGCGGCCTCTTAATTTGCTATTAAACTCCATACTTAGGTTCTATTAAACTGTAATGAGCAAAAAACACAAACGAAAATAAAAGAAATGTTTTAGCGAAATTTACATCTGACATTTACGTCTGAATGAAATAGTGAAATACTTGATGCGCAGAGTGTACTTTCATTGCGTAAATCCGTCGGGATGCCGGTCAGTAGTGCTTTCTCTGTCTAGCCGCCTGGCGTTGCGCTCCTGGACCTTGGCCCTAGTGGCCCATGTGGTTAATCCGGCTCTGTGCAAATTATCGGTGTTCAGTAATATTACTGAACACACAAACTAAAAATCAATGTAGCCAAAAGATAATTAACCCATCATGGCGACCAGCATGAATGGGGTATTTTTTGTATTGACGGAATACGCCAAGCGGTATCTAGACTTTCTGAGGGCTACGGTCTGAGTTTTTTTAAAAACAAAGACAAAATTTAGTTTTAAAAAGGCGAAAAGACAAATGTTTGCTGATTTTTATAATGTTTTAACGATGTTTTCGAATTTAAGTTTCATATCTTATTAAAATAAACTCGTGTAAAAAAAAATTCAAAGATTGGAAGTATTTTACAAATAATTCGCCTAAAAAAAAAAAAAGAAAATACAAATGCAAATATTGTTCCCAGTGTTTAAAAAAAAAACATCCAGAATGGAGATTTACCTAGGTTTTTCCATGCTCACTCAAGGTGAGCAACTTTTCATCGCGACTTTTCATTACATTTCACTACTTTTCAGGACATGTCCGTCGGACCACTCCAAAAATTACTTTTCATGAAAAATCCCATCTCTAATTATTACTATTATTACCTTTTCTTTTTCTAGCCTTCTCAATAATCTTTTCTTGTTTCTTTTGGTCTTTTTCGTCTCTTTGCTTCCTTTGTTCCTCGTTTTGCCTTCTCAATTCTTCTAATTCCATTTCCTCCATTTCCATCTCGTTCTTTAAATCCTCGAAATCAAAATGGCACGGTTGCATCAACGCTTTATCTACTAGTTGCCTGTTCAGCTTTTCCTCTTTTTTAAATTTTATTTTCAATTCCCTTCTAACTCTGTTCGGGAAAAGTTCACACATCAACATGAAGTCCGTTCCGATAGTGTTTAAGGCTTTGTAGAAACGCAGCGTTTCGAAATGAGACCAAAATTTTGAACGTCGATGTCTTGTGTAAATACCGTAGCCGGTTTTGAATTTATCTGCGTCTACGATTTTTGTGTTTTCCATTTCAGCTCTGAAAAACAAAATTAATTTCGAATATAACTTTAATGAATTAAACAAATTTATACAGTCTTGCTACAATTTAAAATTCGTTTCATGTACAGGGTATTTGTCGTTTTATCATCAATAAGAATGCTAGTTTTTCAACAATAAATTTGATAAATTTTAGTTGTTCGAGTTAAGAAAATAGATCCAAATTTTCACTTATTTATAAATATAAAATTACAAATTTACAAGACACCAAAATAATGTTTTGACATTATCAGTCTCTTTGTGTTAACCAGAGTTCAATTTTCTTTTAAAGTTAGATTTGCTAGAATACATTTTTGTTTAAAAACCTAGTAAACAACATTTAGGTCCTATCACCGTTCTAAGTGTTTTTAATCGTGAACTAACACTAGTTTTACCTAAAATATTGTCTATGAATCAATGAGTAGAGTAGGTTTTTAATTTTAACAAAGAATTAAAATGTTTTAAATAAAATTTACAGTTTTACCTTTGTCTTTGCAGATCTTTCCTCTCGATTACAAGACTCTGTTCATCCAATATAATTTCTCCTGATGGACCGATTTTAATTTGTGGCACGGGCATGGCGTTTTCTTCGTCACTTTTTGCGAGATCCTCAGTTGGGGATGAATTATCTACATTGTCGGCTAATCCAGGGTCATCTACATTTTTTAATGGTTCTGGATCATCCTCAACCGCGGCAGCGGCGTCTTTCTCACTGATTCTAAAATAAAATTATCATTTTTATTATTTAGATGTAACAAAGATGGTAAAAAAGGCAAAATAGAGAGAGAACTAGTAAACTAGAACTAGAAAATTAGAAGTAGAAAATTAGAACTAAAAAACTAGAAAGTTAAAACTAGACATTTAAAACTAGAAAGTTAAAACTAAAAAGTTAAAACTACAACGTTAAAATCAGAAAATTAAGTTAAAACTATAAAGTTAGAAAAATACAATAAAGATGCTAAAAAAAGGCAAAGCAGACACAAAACTAACAAGCTGGAACTAGAAACAGAACTAATAATCAGGACTAAAAAATTTGATTTGAAAAACTAGAAATAAAAAATTAGTATTGGAGAAGTAATACTGAAGTACTAAAAAAGTAGAACTAAAAAACTGGAATTACAAAAATAGAACTAAAAAACTAGTACTGGAGAACTAGTACTAGAAACTAGAACTAGAAAACTGGAACTACAAAAATAGAACTAAAAAACTAAAACTAGAACTAAAAAGATGGAACTATAAAATTAAAACAAGAAAACTAAAAATAGACTAGAACTATACAAATAAAATTAGAAAACTAGATTTAGAAGACTAGACAACTGGAAACAGACGACTACAACTAGAAAACAAGAACTAAAACATTAAAACTTGAAAACTAGAACTAGAAAACTAAAACTATAAAACTGTAACTAGAAAACTGAAACTAGAAATCTGGAACTAGATCTAGAAAACCAGCACTAAAAAACTCGTACTAGAAAACTAGTACTAGAAAATTATTAAAACAGAAATAGAACTAGAATTAGAAAACAAGAACTAGAAGTAAACAGTTAGAATTAGAAAACTAGAACTCTCAATCTCATTTTTTGGCAAAAATGTGGTTATAGAAAAAGTATAGTATGAAACAAATGTAGAAAGTTAAAACTTGCAAATTAAAACTAGAAAGTTAAAACTATAAAGTTAAAACTAGAAAGTTAAAACTATAAAGTTAAAGTTAAAACTATAAAGTTAAAAATAAACCAGAAAGGTACAATTAGAAAGTAAAAACTAGAAAATTAGAATTAGAAAACTAGAACTAAAAAACTAGAACTAGAAAACTAGAACTAGAAAACTAGAACTAGAAAACTAGAACTAGAAAACTAGAACTAGAAAACTAGAACTAGAAAACTAGAACTAGAAAACTAGAACTAGAAAACTAGAACTAGAAAACTAGAACTAGAAAACTAGAACTAGAAAACTAGAACTAGAAAACTAGAACTAGAAAACTAGAACTAGAAAACTAGAACTAGAAAACTAGAACTAGAAAACTAGAACTAGAAAACTAGAACTAGAAAACTAGAACTAGAAAACTAGAACTAGAAAACTAGAACTAGAAAACTAGAACTATAGAACTAGAATCAGAAAACTAGAAAACTAGAACTAGAAAACTAGAAAACTAGAAACCTAGAACTAGAAAACTAGAACTAGAAAACTAGAACTAGAAAACTAGAACTAGAAAACTAGAACTAGAAAACTAGAACTAGAAAACTAGAACTAGAAAACTAGAACTGGAAAACTAGATAACTAGAACTAGAAAACTAGAACTAAAAAATTAGAACTGGAAATCTAGAACTAGACAACTGTAACTAGAAAACTAGAACTAGAAATAGAAAACTAGTACTAGAAAACTAGAACTATAAAAATAGAACTAGAAAACTAAAACTAGAAAACTAAAACTAGAAAACTAAAACTAGAAAACTAAAACTAGAAAACTAAAACTAGAAAACTAAAACTAGAAAACTAGAACTAAAAAACTGGAACTAGAAAACTGGAACTATAAAAACTATAAAACTAGAACCAAAAAACTAGAACTAGAAAACTAAAACTACAAGACAAGAACTAGAAATATGAAATTAGAACTAAAAATCAAGAACCAGAAAAATAGAACTAGTAAAATAGAACTGAAAAACTAAAACTAATAATTATTATTATTATTATTATTAAGTAGATGCAATGACGTTACTAAAAAAGGCAAAGCAGAGACAGAACTAGCAAGCTAGAACTAGAAACCTAGAACTAAAAAATTAGGACCACACAAACTAGAACTACAAAACCAGAACTAGAAAACTCGTACTAGACAACTAGTATTAGAAAATTAATACAACAAAAATAGAACTAGAATTATAAAATAAGAACTAGAAAATTAGAACTAGAAGTAAAAAGCTAGAATTAGAAAACTAGAACTCATTATTTTAATTTTTTGCAAAAAGTGTGATTATAGACAAAGTATAGTATGTAACAGACGCAGAAAGTTAAAACTAAAAAGTTAAAACTTGCAAGTTATAACTATAAAGTTGAAACTATAATGTTAGAATTAGAAAACTAGAATAAGAAAATTAGAACTCGAAAACTAGAACTAGAAAACTAGAACAAGAAAACTAGAACAAGAAAACTAGAACAATAAAACTAGAACTAGAAAGTTAAAACTAAAAAGTTAAAACTAGAAAATTAAAACTAGAAAGATAAAACTAGAAAATTAAAATTAGAAAGATGAAATAAAGGCAAAGCAGAGACTAGCAAGCTGGAACTAGAAATCTTGAACTAAAAAATAAGGACTAGGAAATTAGAATTAAAAAACTAGAAATAAAAAACTAGTATAAAAACTAGAAATAGAAAACTAGTATGAGAACTAGTACTAGGAAACTAGTACTAGAAAACTAGTACTACAAAACTAGTACTATAAAACTAGTACTACAAAACTAGTACTATAAAACTAGTACTAGAAAACTATAACTAGAAAACTATAACTACAAAAGTAGAACTAGAAAGGTAAACTTGAACTAGAAAGGTAAACTAGAACTAGAAAGGTAAACTAGAACTAGAAAGGTAAACTAGAACTAGAAAGGTAAACTAGAAAATTAGAACTAGAAAATTAGCACTAGAAAACTAAAGATAGACAACTAGATAAAACTAAAATTAGAAAACTGGAAATAGACAACCAGAACTGGAAAACTAGAACTAGTGAATCAAAACACTAGAACTAGAAAACAAGAAATAGAAAACTAGAAGTTGAAAATTAGAACCAGTAAACTAGAACTAGTGAATCAAAACACTAGAACTAAAAAACAAGAAATAGAAAACTAGAAGTTGAAAATTAGAACCAGTAAACTAGAACTAGAAAATTGGAACTAAAAATCTAGAACCAGAAAACTAGAAACAGAAAAATAGAACTAGAAAACTAGAACTAATAATTATCATTGTTAATAAGTAGATGCAGTAAAGATACAAAAAAAACAAAGCAGAGACAGGATTAGCAAGCCAGAACTAGAAACCTAGAACTAAAAAATTAGAACTAGAAAATTAGAACTAAAAAACCAGAACTACAAAACTCGTACTAGAAAATTAGTACAACAAAAACAGAACCAGAAAACTAGAAGTAAAAAAACTAGAATTAGAAAACTATAACTTAATTATTTTAATTTTTTTGCAAAAAAATGTTATTATAGAAAAAGTATAGTATGTAACAGGTGCAGAAAAAACATTTCTGCACTTATTGCACAATATACTATTGTGAATCACTCCTATTATAAATAGAAAATATTACGTCATTGGATTCGAATCTGGATTATAGAAAATCAGATCCATCATGGTGAGTCTGTTTCTCTCCGGTTTGTTAGCTCCGAATCTCCTTATGAATTCTCGTCTAGCTTCGGCCAGCTTCCGTGTTTGTTCTGATCGTCCACATCTTTTCGGAAGGATCGTCGCCGTGGTATCCTTTTTTCTTTGAGGAGACAAACATTCTGTTATCGATTCGGTTACCACAGAAGTCACTGAACATACCTAAACAAAATATATATTATTTTATATTAATTTGAAGTTTAATTCTTTCAGCTAATAATATTAAGAAATGCAATACGTCTCTAAAACGAATCAATATTTCAGATTTTCCTATTTGGTTCTCAGCAGAATTTAAAAGACTACTGACAAAAAAAAAATAGAACATTTGATTCGAAAAGCGAAGAAAAGTTTTTTGGAATTAATATTGGAATTTGAAGGTGAATTCTTTTTATCAAATTTTATGTTTCTTGGTAATTAAGCTGGCAATATTACAGATCATTTTCTATATAAAAGAAATTGACAATCTACAAAATACAATTGACGAGAAAGAAAATTATATTAAATGGCTGAAGAGAGGCACACAAGAGTTTATTAATGGCGTTTCTGAAGAGGAGGACAGTCTTAATATTAATACTAAACAAAAAAAGAGAAACGACAATATATTGAGGAATTAGAAAAAGAATTGCAATCTCTTCAGAGAACTTAGAGACTAGAGTTAAAATAGGTAATGATTTGAATACTCAGTCGCTAAGGTAAATGACCTAACCAAAATATATAAGGACATGAAAAACTCAATTTCTATTCTTGAGCAAAACATTCATCGCTGTTTTAAGAACTAAAAGCGCTAAAAAGTCTGGTGGACAATATTCAAAAAGATAACAACTCAACTGGAGCTACACTGCAATCTTTACTTCGAGATAAACCTTCCTCGTCAGCTTGAAAACCCCAACTTTTAATCTTGGGTGATGAAAATGCAAGTAGTTAAACACATTACCAACAGCAACTACGATATTAACTGTCAATGGTCATAAAAATCTTGAAACTCTTGAAAAATCCAAAGGTTGGAAGTATTTTACAAATGATTTTTCCGTCGGAGTAGTCCAAAAATTACTTTTCATGAAAATTCCCATCTCTACTTTCAATAGGTTAGAGAAAATCCTGTAAAGATTTGAACATCCTTAATACTTACCGAATCATTTCTTATTCTATCTATTTTTCTATTTTCATCTTCAGATTCGCTGGCGCTGAAACTTGCTTTCCGATTAGCTAATCTTGGTATGGCTTTAATTCTTGCTCTATTAACTTTATTAGGACTAGGTGGAGGTAGATTATATTCAGTGTCCGATTGAGCAGCATTATTCGTAACAGATAATGGCTTTTGGAAAATATTTTCTAAAACATATATACATGACATAAAAGGAAAAGTTATTCGGGCAAACATGAAAATTACAAGAATTTTTCAACAGACTAAGTGTGTATATCTCTGTTAATATTGGAACAAACAGTTTAACGTAAAATACCAGTTAGATTTCAATAACAATAAAAAAAACATGAGTAGTATTAATAGCAAAAGGGCTTTTTAGTATATATCTCCGTTAATATTGGTTTGATTTGAATGAAACCAATGGTACAGTAACTTCTATAGGTACTCCTACTCATTACCAGATACATATCATTAATGAACTTAGATGACTTATCTATATGTACATCGACTGCTATAAATAAAATTAATAACTCAGTCTCTGCCACAATTAAAAAGTATTTAATGTAAAATTATCTTCGGGCTTAGAAGAAAAATATTGCTTGGATATAACAATGTCTTGCCAATTTTACCAGATTATAATGAAATTTATGAATCAAGAAATAAAACGAGAGGTGGAGTTGACATTCTAGTAAAAGAAGGCTACAATTTCACAGAAATTGACAGGTTAAGTGAAAAATGTTCTATGCTATTTATAAGATTAGATAGAACAAAGGACTTTGTTATAGATGCTACATATAGACCTCAAGATTTTAATAAAAACACTTTTTTAAACGTTTTAGAAGAAAAGTTAGAAAATATCAATAACCATAAAAAGAAAACGTTTATTTTGGGAGACTTTAATATTAACTGTTTGGATAAAAATGATATGTACAAAAGAAACCTTGATTACCTAATTGATTGACTAAATTTTATTAATTTAAATGATAGCATTCCAACTAGAGTGCAGAATAATTCAAGAACTTTAATTGATTATGTTTTGTTAAATGATGGATACTCCAGTAATTTGGCTGTTATTGATTATTATTTAAGCAATCACAGAATACAGATATTGCAAGAAAAACAATGCAATTCAATTAACAATGAAAAATATTATAAATGTTTTAAGTTAAATAGGTTAGCATGTAGAAGAGATCTTCAAGGTATAATTAACACTGTGTGGCAGGATCCAAATGGCTTGTGTGATCAAATAGTGAGAACATTCCAAAGCAATACATATACATATAAAGACCGTTTTAGAACTAAAAGTTGTCCATGGTTTAACATTCATTTGCATAACCTAATCAAGCACAGAGATAGGTGTTATAAAAGGCATAAGTTTTTTCCCAATAGTGCTCTGCTTCACAGTGAATACAAGAACAGTCAAACTATCTTGAAAGCAGCTATATCTAATGCAAAAAAACAATATCATCACAATCAGCTAACAAGTGCCCTAGGTAATCCAAGAAAAATATGGTCAGTGTTAAACTTGTTAATTCATAATAAAATATCAAAGCAACAAAACACAGTGAATAAACTGCAAGTAGAAGATGATCTATAGAAGTTCCTAAGAAAATTGCAAATATTCTTAACACCCATTTTACAGAAATAGGTAAAGCCTTAGCAGAAAATATACCAGAATCTACTTACACAAAACCTACAGTTATAAACTATCAACAACTATATCAATGGGAGTTCACTCATGCTTCAATTTCCAATGGACTAAAAGTAGCTAAAGTTTTGCCATTATTTAAAAGAGAGCTAAGAACTTCCACTAATAACTACCGACCAATATCTCTATTAAGTCCTATCTCCAAAGTGATGGAAAAATGTATTGATCAATGGCTTGTTTCCTATCTTGAAAAAAGAATTTTTGGTACAAGGGACAGTATGGTTTTCATAGTGGAAGTAGCACAACGTCGGCAGTCACAGATATGATTACCAACATCAGACATCATGTGGATCATGTATCATTGTTTCACTTGATTTAAAGAAGGCGTTTGATACTGTTAATCACTCCGTACTGTTATCTATTTTGGAAGACTATGGAATAACAGGAAATGCATTGTCTTTCTTCAGAGATTATTTCAATGGTCGTACACAGTTTGTAAGTAATGGAAATACCTCAAGTAAAATGGCTGATCTACAATATGGTGTACCCCAGGGGTCAATTCTTGGACCAACGTTATTCCTGATCTATATAAATTCCATAGCTCAGCTACCATTAGCTGGTTATTTTCAACTTTATGCTGTCAATGCTTGTCTCATCTATTTTGGAAAAGATACAGACGAACTAAAGTATATTATAGAGCAAGATCTAATTCAAATTCTTGAGAGGTTAAAGTTTCATAAATTAACTCTGAATACTGAAAAGTCAAGTTTTTTAGTGATATCAAAAAAGCCTAAATGGACCAATTCCAAATAAATATAGACAATGAACAGTTGACTAGGACAGAATGCATTAAATATCTTGGCTTATACATAGATTCCAAGCTCAACTGGGAACATCATATTGCTCAATTGTGTAAAAAAATTAGTCCTGCCATTGGAGTATTGGGACGTGTTGCCAGCTACCTTTCAGCTCACTTAAGGAAGACTGTATCATTCACTAATTCATTCACATCTATCATATTTAACTCTTATTTGGAGCAAAACTTCCCAAAATAGACTAAAACCCTTGCAAATTCTACAGAATAGAGCAATAAGAAAAGCTTTTCAACTTCCATTTTGCCATCCTACTGATTCAGTCCCTCTCTAAATATCAGACATGCATTTTTATTCATAAACTATCTCTGAATAATAAACACTCATCCATACAACTGACTACTTCCTATGATATCCATAGAATAATCACTGCTTCAGAACCACAGCCATAGGAATGTGCTTTGGTGACCGAAGCATACTTTCTAATGGTCTAAGACAATACAATGAGCTTCCTCCTATAACTATAAAGAACATGAGGACTGACCTCTTTAAAAAAAACTAAAAGCTCACTGAATAGGATTTAAGTAATAGTGTGATATTAAAGTACCATATTTTTTTTTATTATTATTATTATTATTATTATTATTAGTTATTTTGTAGTAGTACTGTTATTATTATAACTAAGCAGGTACCAAATTCTTCTTCTGTGATATGATATAAAATTTGTACCTTGTAAGACCCACATAGTCTTAAGCTCTGGGTCTAAATATATCAAATTGTATTTTTTTTTTATTAATAAACTTGATGGAACCTTAACTTAAAAAGGATTCCAATATTTGGTCTGGTTACCATTATTTCTATATTTCATTTTCAAAGTTATTTTGTTTTTAAAGTAAGTAAACATTATGTTGCTTGCACCAACAGGGTACTCACCTGATTATAATAATAAGTGCAAAGGTTTAAACAGAGCTATATGTAGTCTTTAATCGTTAAATTAAAAAAAAAAAAGAAAAATAGTTACCTCTGCTTTCAGAAGAATTTTCTGCAACATTTGGTACACAAACCTCGTCTTCTGAAACTTGCACATCTTGTGTGCACTCATTTTTCTGAATCTGATCTTGTTCCAATTCATTCTGCAGATTAATATTAATTTTCTTCGAATGTTGGTCATCATTATCAACAACAGGACAGGAAATTGACTGTTTCTTTTCTTCCTGTGAAAACTGAGCTTTTTTTCTTTGACTGCTATTCACCGACGTGGGAATCTTTACAAAATGCTTTTTTAGGAAAGATTTCGCCTTTATATTTGGTTTTTCTAATTGCACTTCAGATTTTTTAATATTTAAATCACTATCATTATTGCCAGAAGTTTGAGCTAACACAGAAAGCTCAACTGCAGTCTTTAGAGTCTCATGGTGTTCACTAGGATTTTTATTAACAACATTTTCCGAAGTTTCATTTATAATCTCAGCTACATTTGAAATTGCATCATTTTGACAAACATTATCAACTAGGGATTTGCTAGAAAGATTCGAGTCTTTACAAGGATCTATTGAATTTTTATTTGTATTATTTACTTCGGATTCTTTAGATATTAAATTATTACCATCTTCATTCTCATATGGTTCAACTTGTTTGGATTCCAATTCATTTTTTTGATTAACTGGTTTCCGTCTTTGTGGAATATTAGCAATTCCTTTAATTCTACTTCGTCTAGAAGTCATTTTGTGTATGTCTTAATTAAATTGGATTTAGAGGAAGATTTATCCACACATATGGAAAGAAAAAGGACTGCTTATCACTATCATATTTCCAATTTTTTTTTAGAAAATAAAATAGGTTATAATTTATTACTGTCATGTGTCACTGTGTCAGATGACATTCCAGTCTGGATAGGCGAGTTCGGATAGTCAGGGGCTGGAGCGCACATACTTTCTGGAGCGGGACAAATTTTAGGGTGCTTTTAAATGACATTTAAGCTTGTTAAACTGTCACTAATCGGACTAAACCGAACGCTAAAAGGGTCGTTTGGAGTTAAAAGTGTTAAAGGAACTTGGCAGACCGAACGCAATGCTTAAGTTTCCAGTCCGTTAGCTCCAAACGACCCTTTTAGCGTTCGTTTATTCCAAATAGTAACACTTCAATACGCTTAAAATTGCGTTCGGTCTGCCAAGTTTCTTTAACTCCTTTAACACTTTTTACTCCAAACGACCCTTTTAGCGTAAAGTATTATAATTATTCACCAGAAAGGTGACAACGCTTCTGTTTTACTGTTTCCCGTTTGTCCAAATGTATTTCAGAAGAACACTGTTGAACATTAACTACCTTACTTATTTTAACTGTGTACCGAAACCTCGACCAAATCGCATAAACTTTGAAGCTAAACTAACACCAATTCAACCCAGAGCCGGATGCTCCCGTGTTCGGTTTTCGTCTGTTATACGCATGACTTCACTCATAGCCTGACTCTCATTATTATTATTTTCTCTGTAACGCATTTATTATAACAGCTACAATAAAATGTTTAATACAAAAAATGTTTATTAAAATTCGAATCAGAAAAATATTAAAAAATATAAAATGACTTCATGTATCTTTACTTTACGCGTTACTTTCACTGTAAAATTGGTCTCTGGTATTTTTGGCAGGAATCTTGTGGGAAAGGTTTTTTATATTAAGTTTATCTTTCCTCTTGCTAAGATGCAACCACTTGTTGCTAAGGTTAGGGTCTTTAGGAAAACTAAAAAATCTTACAAACGGCAGCTCAACTTCTGTCTACATTTATATCCATGTTTGAATTATAATGGATACAGACAGACAAACAGATCACGAAAATGGTCAAACAGATTCAGGTGATCTCACAACGTAAAGCTCTATTAAAAACTCGAAGTAGAAAAAAAAATATTGCACTACTTTTCTTACTAGATATAAGATAGTAAAAATGGAGTAAGCATTAGAGTCGTCATCATCCATTTTAGGTAAAATAAAAAAGATTTAAAACTGTAAATATATATTGTTTGTATATCACCGATCTTTTTTATCACTTTGATTTTTTTCTGCAAACTTTGATTTTAAAATCTCAATTTGCAAATTGTTGCCGTTCTCTTCAACCGTTTTTTTAAGTAACTTCCATTCATCTTCAGTTTCTTGCGATCTTTTAATTAAATGGTCTCGTTGAAATGTAGCTGATTTCCTAAAAATTAAATAGCTATTTATGACATAGAAAGGCATTTCTTAACGTGTTGCATACAATATTTGTTCTAATTTTGACTGGATTGTTTATAAAATTGTTTTGAGAAAAATTACTGACATCTAGGCAACCAGTATTACTACTTTCTTGTATTGTTAGTTGCGTATGATTAACTTCATTCTTTTATTGATAAATGACAACTTACGCAATTAGAAAAAATTGAAGGCTAACTAAAAAGATGGCCATACACACACATATCGAAACAACTTTCACATTTGAAACTCTCTCCTGTCCTTTAATACCATAATACGGTTTTTGCTCATATTGCTTGTCTTCCTTCTTGTTTCGATTTGAATAAAACGTTGGATCATTCCAACCACTTCAATAAAAAAAATTAAATTAAATGTTACCTTTTCTTGTTTAATAAAAATTAAATTTACCTAGATCCGGATCTTGTGAAAATTTGTGGACCAGGACGGGTAACTTCCTTATCAGGTATTAAGCTTAAATCGTAATTTCTTCTGGAAACTGCATTGCTTAAAACTTTATACGATTCATTTAAAGCTAAAAACTTTTTATGTGCATCTTTATTCTTGTTTAAATCTGGATGATTCTAAAATGTTTTACATATTTTAGTTGTTAAGAGTTATTGCTCCACTGAAAATGGTAAATTTGTGTGAATTATAGGTTTTCTATACTAGAATACACAATTTTAAACATATTTCAATATTTTTTATGTATGTACAAAGGGAATAAGTGAAACTAGGCTTAGGTTAGCAAAATGTCATTTAGTTTTAGAAAAAAAGAAATATTAGATGGAGTATGGGAGTTTACAGACCGAAAGACTTCATCAAATTCACTACCATATTAGTCACAACAAACTATTTCTAATTAAAACCATTTTTTGAATAATTATAATACCTATCTACTTTTGAAATTTATGAACTAACCTCTTTTGATAACTTTATAAACGCTTCTTTAATTTCTTTAGATGTGCAGTTTCTTGGCAAATTAAGGACGTCGTAATGGGTTTTGCTAAAAAATAATAATAAATAATTTACAATAATGATTTAATTAAAAAATACACTAACCTTTTTGAACTAAAATGATTAAAAATACTTATTGATTGAATTCTAATTAAATGAGAAAATGAATACATATCACAACACTGAAAATTTAAAACATTTTAATGAATTTATGTAATATGAAAAATGTTAAAATGGAATGATGAAAATTTTGGAGGTTATGTTTTATGTTTACTCAAAATTTTACCAATGATATATGTAGTTATATAGATTGCTCGCACATATGTAAATAAGATGACAAGTAGTCGCAACCATATTGTCTCGCCTAGCTCACTTAGGACCGATTCCACCACAAAGCACATAGAGGTTCCACGTGAATGACCAAGGTCAAAACCGACAACTGACATTTTTTATGCTATTTGCTCCAAACTCTAGATGGGGCTACTGGTGAAATTCTGATTTCTTACTCCATTTTTAAGCTTTATGGGAGAAAAACTTAACCAAAGACTCCAAAGATGTGAGGTGTATTTATTTATGTTTTTGGTTAGTCTCATTTTTCCGTCTGATTTTAGTGATTTTTTGTTGGCTTTGGCTTTTGGTTTCTGTTTATAGTTTCGTCTTAGTTATTTGCAAAATTGTGATGTTTCGCTATTCTATTTCCTACTGTGTTTTGCAATAATTTTGGTGCTACCTGTGGGTGCTACGTTGAAAACTTCGAGAAAAACTTATTGATTCACCATGGATCTGCATCATAAAAAGACAAACGGGTATAACAACTAATTGATAATCAATTTATCACTGGACTAGATTCCGAAATCATTTTTCACATAAGAGACTAATACACAAAGCAGTGAAGTAATACCACTATCTGTATTTGGAAGGCAAACACCTATTTATCATTGAATGAATAGTTAAAAGGATTCACCTTTTAATACAATACCTATATTACATTTGTCCTCGGTTTAAAAGAAATTTATAAAATATATTATTTTAGTGTTAATAAAATGTAATATCCTAGTCTCTACTTCACATTTAAATTATTGATAGGTATTTTAAAGATTTGAGATTGTATACCTATTTGCTGCAAGTAAGTATTCGTTAAATATGTATTATTTGTATTTATTTTTATCTAATAATATTTATTTAAGTTATTAATAAAAATATTTTAAGAATGTTCTATTTTATTATTTATTGATATATCTTATATTTATTTAATAATAATATGCAGAACCAACTCTCCAAATCAGACCCCTGCTTATAACAAATTAATTCCTCAAATTTGGTATAATCGACCTAAATTATTTTGTAAAATAAAAGTTTCGAACTTACTAGTTCCATACTTTATTTTATAAAATAATTTATGTGGAAATCATTTAAAATTTAATTTAAAACTACTACCTACTCCTAAAAATTACAATTTGAATTTACCGCCATCTGTCAATTGTCATTTTAGTTCCAGCTCCAAACACAAGGTGGCGCTAATTTGGTTTAAAAGTTTAACATTGGCGTGGGGTCTCTAGAAGATACGTGCTTTGTGGATTCCACCGTTGTGTTAAAAGAAGTTTAAAATGACATTTTTACATCAACAATGTCATTTTAATCTCCGTTTAACACAACGGTGGAATCGACTCTTATCAGTATTGGTTTAGCCTAATTTTATTTTAAAATTTTTTTTTTTTTTTCTTTAGTGTACGGCTTCAACATCTAAGGTCATTAGCCTAGTGTTCTATGTAGGTTATGGATTGTACTAGTAGTCTAATACTCCATAGTGTAGAAGTATTAGTACTCTAATACTCCTACACCCCTACAGACAGGCCTTGTTACCCAGCTAGCACAAAAACATCCCATCTACGTTAATAAGCTGCAATTTTAGGCTCTTTAAGCTCGCATGCAATGTACTGTAAATGTAACCCTTATATCCCTGCAACTACCGAATGTCCGCAGCGGCAAGACTTTTATAGCACATCTCACAGAAGTTACAAAGTGAAGTTCGAAAAACATCACACTAGCACTTTTACGGTACTTACCCCGAAAGTTGCTCTGAAACGTTCTATTGATGTTATAATGTGAATTAGATCTACAGCATTATACAGTGTGTCCACGGATGGGCTTAACTATACTTGTGAAAATATTTATTTTAAATTAAAAAAGTAATTCTTCATAATTTCTTGCTTGTTAAATAAATTCGATTCACATTGAGAAATTATGAAAAATAACTTTTTCTTTAATTTAAAATAAATATTTTTACAAGTATAATTAAGTCCATCCGTGGACACACATTGTGTAATGTAATACAGAGAGGCTGAAATTGAGGCTATAGTAAAATCTCAATCGAGACATGAAAATTTCAAATAAAACAAAATATTTATATAAATTTATTATTAAAATGTTCTTGAAATCAAGTACCAATAGCACAAAAGTAGAGGTAGGTGTGTTCTTTTATTCAGTGCTGTATCCAGCGCTTGCAGCAAACCGTTCGTAAATTAAGTGATGGAAAGACGATTGTATGTGTCAATCATTCTTTTTTCCAGCAGTGAATTCACCAATGAGCCAAGGCATCCATCGACTTTAAATACCACCACAAACAAAAATATCCTTAAAGATAAATCATTTAAAATGTAGCCACAAACTGTGTCTAAAACTGCATCAATTCGAGTTATTTTCTTCAAAAACACCCAAATTTTTTACAACTATGCAACAACTCACTTTTATAATCATATTCATTTTATTTAACAGCAAAATATCGAAGCTTTTAAATAAAATATAAAGAGTATGTCAAAAACAAAATAATGATAATAGAGACTTACAAAATTTCAAAATGAAATTTCTCGAAATAATAGTATTTTAGTTGTGGCAGTATTTGATTGAGCCATCAATATGTAGATTTTATAAAAAACAACTGGTGTTTTTTAGCAAGATATTCTATTATACTCGAGAGTATCATCTATGATTTCTCTCAACTTTTCTGCTGGGTTTTCACTTGACTGATGGTTGCATTTCCAGGCAATCTAGCTTGTTGAAGAGAATGAACTGCTTGAATTCTGATATACCTGACATATCATGTACCTATAGATTCACTTTTTATAAAACTTCAGGAGTTATATTCTTCTTTACACTTCTGTAGTATTTACTTTTGCTTCTAAAATTCCTAGAATGTCGAAGGAAACCTAAAAAATAATATTTTTAAAATGTATTTTTAGTTCGATAAAGTATAATTACCTTTTATAAGTATTTGGTGTAAAATGTTGCCGGACATTCGGTTAAATGTTTATCTTCTGGTTTACAACGATTGATCTGCAATTTTTTGTTTTTATTGTAGTTTTTTTTTATTTGGTGTCATCGGCATCGACTGCTAAAGATACTTAATGAATGAAATAATAAATTTACATCAGGCATTGTAATCTGAAACAAAGACAATGGTTTAGAAAATAGTTATCTATTTTATAGAGGACCCTTACCAAATCTATTCGAATGTATAAATAATAATTATTTATAAAATAAATTCTGGATGTCGAAAAATAAACCATTAAAAAAGACAATTGACAAGAAAAACTGACAAGTGACAATTGACATAAAACTAAACGTTCTGAAATTCAGATTTGTAATGTTTACGGTAGGTTAACTAGGTAAATAACAAATAGAAGTTTTGCGAGGTTTTGATTTCCCTCGACAACTTCTCATGAACGTTGCATTTACGTTGTACAGTAATGTTATTACGTTCCCTTAATGCAACATCGCCGAAAGGCTTGGCAACGTTATGTGCTAGCTGGGTACTGTTTCCTTGCACCACTTTAGGAACAGCACTGTTAATTAGAACCCTATTTTAAAATATGAATAGGTATATATTGAAATAAAAAGAAAGAAAAACAGCTGACAAAATTAAATGAGTAAAAAGTAAAACTATACGTGACACGAGTAACAATAACAACAGGAAGCGAGGAACATCAAACATTATATAAACAAATTACTGTAAGAAACTATAATTTTCAAATTCGTTGACGTTTACTCTCTTTGCCGTTTAGAAATGTTGGGCCAATGAGAATTACTCTAGAGTAGTCTGTTCAAACAATCTAAGAAAATTAGTCTACTCCCGTGTAAAGTCATCTGAACGCGCTCCTGTATTTTTAGGTTCTGTCGCTTAATTTCTATGCTTTTTTTATTCTGTGATTTGCAGTTTGTGTCTTGTGTCATTCAAAAGTGTCATCTGTCATCTATTGCCTTCGGCATGGCTTCAATTTTAAGATCTTCAAAGTTTGTAAGATATCTAGCAGGATTTGCAAGAAATGTCGTGATTAATACACCAAGAGAATTCGACGGCAGTCTAATAAATAACTCACAATGTCTTTGTGGACTAATAACGAGGTAAGAAAATATAACCTACAAAAACTATGATGCAACAATAGCGGTTCTAATAATTTTATTTACCTTTGTATATTTCTTTAATATCATAATTATTTCAAATTGTCAGTGCATGGTTTTGTAGTTTTGTTAAACATTAACGAATGGTTTATTTTTCTAGTGGAAATTTTGCTACACAAACATCTACTTTACAAGATCAAAATTTGGAAAGCAGTTTAAGAAGGATAGATCAAGATGTTAGAAAATCCGGACGAATATCTCGAAGAGACATCGAAGATGTGCTTGAAGAGATTCGACATGCCCGTTCAGCTACAAGCTCACAATCCTTGTTGGTCATTCGATGTTGCGGTAATTTAGTGCCAGATGAATTACCGGAAATCCGAACGAAACTTGTTCAGGAGATATGGAATACTTTGAATAAACTAAATGTTCCCATGGACATTTCACATTACAATGCTCTGTTGAGGGTTTATTTAGAAAATGAACATCCTTTTTCACCGACCGAATTTTTAAGTGATCTTGAAACTAAAGGTATCGATCCAAATAGAGTTACTTACCAAAGATTAATATCAAGGTATTGTCAAGATGGAGACATCGAAGGTGCAACTAAAATATTGGAATATATGAGAGAGAAGCAGATGTCTGTTAATGAAAACGTTTTCAATGCTTTAATCATTGGTCACTCAAAGGCTGGGTATGTATTTTTTATTTATCCATTTAATTTGTTTATTGTATTTAAGAATAAAATATTGCAATTTTTTTCAATTAATATTAACAATTTTATGGGAAAGAGAATGAATAGGAATGGTGGGTGGATAAAACAACATCAATAGTTATAATATAAAATATTGCTAGGGTCAGGAAAATGATAAATGAATTGCTGTACTATTTGACATTAAATAATTGGATAATAAACTTTTGTGCTATTTGACAACAGTGTAAAGCATAAAAGTAACATCTCAGCTTTGATTTGAGACATGTTGTATTTTTATTTAAAATTAAATGTATCATATTATTAATTTGCACATAGAACTAAGATTTTTTGTTTATAATAGTGACTGTCACAACCAAATAGAAGTAGAATGTATTCTTCTTTGAGAATTATACACTATACAAAGACACTAGGTACATAATGTAAAATCATATCAGACTAGTCAAAAAAGTGTTAAGTAAAATACATTAAAAAATAAAATATATATAAGTAATAGACAATTCATGTTAAGATTAGTTTAAAAGTTCAAAAAATCTTCTATACTATAAAATACATTATTTACAAGAAAATCATTAAGATGTTTTCTTAAATCATTACAACTAATTTGATGTACCTGAAGTTCTAAATGTTTTTTTTTAAACGAAAATATAAAAAAAAAATTTCAAGGATTGGCTAGCATCTCGCTAGAAATCATCACATAGCTTACCTGCGGTTACCAAAAGGTAGACAAAATTATATTTTGCTGACAAACCCGAAATTAACCCCTACACTTAGATAAACTCACCCCGTAAAGATGTAGAAGCTATAAAGAAACATAATCAGGAGTAATATTGTCCTAGAAATTCGAGAGAATCTTCCTCGTGCTAACCAAAGGCTAGAAAAAAATCATTATCGACGTAGGGCCACGGGAACCACCCCTTTATTTAAATAAACACCCTTTAAAACCTTAAAAAATTCAAACAAGCCTAGTATCGACCTGAAAATTCGTAGAAATGCCTCTCGTGACACCTTCGAGATAAAAAAAAAATCATCATCGACATTGGGCCACGGGAACCACTCCTTTACTTGAATAAATACACCCTTTAAAACCTTAAAAAATTCAAACAAGCCTAGTATCGACCTGAAAATTCGTAGCAATGCCTCTCGTGACACCTTCAAGATAAAAAAAAATCATCATCGACATTGGGCCACGGGAACCACCCCTTTACTTGAATAAATACACCCTTTAAAACCTTAAAAAATTCAAACAAGCCTAGTATCGACCTGAAAATTCGTAGCAATGCCTCTCGTGACACCTTCAAGATAAAAAAAAATCATCATCGACATTGGGCCACGGGAACCACCCCTTTACTTGAATAAATACACCCTTTAAAACCTTAAAAAATTCAAACAAGCCTAGTATCGACCTGAAAATTCGTAGCAATGCCTCTCGTGACACCTTCAAGATAAAAAAAAATCATCATCGACATTGGGCCACGGGAACCACCCCTTTACTTGAATAAATACACCCTTTAAAACCTTAAAAAATTCAAACAAGCCTAGTATCGACCTGAAAATTCGTAGCAATGCCTCTCGTGACACCTTCAAGCTAAAAAAAATCATCATCGACATTGGGCCACGGGAACCACCCCTTTACTTGAATAAACACACCCTTTAAAACCTTAAAAAATTCAAAAAAATTCAAACAAGCCTAGTATCGGCCTGAAAATTCATAGCAATGCCTCTCGTGATACCTTCAAGCTAAAAAAAAATCATCATCGACATTGGGCCACGGGACCCACCCCTTTACTTGAATAAACACACCCTTTAAAACCTTAAAAAATTCAAAAAAATTCAAACAAGCCTAGTATCGACCTGAAAATCCGTAGCAATGCCTCTCGTGACACCTTCAAGCTAAAAAAAAATCATCATCGACATTGGGCCACGGGAACCACCCCTTTACTTGAATAAACACACCCTTTAAAACCTTAAAAAATTCAAAAAAATTCAAACAAGCCTAGTATCGGCCTGAAAATTCATAGCAATGCCTCTCGTGATACCTTCAAGCTAAAAAAAAATCATCATCGACATTGGGCCACGGGACCCACCCCTTTACTTGAATAAACACACCCCTTAGAATCTAAAAAAATTCAAATAAATTCAAACAAGCCTAGTATCGACCTGAAAATTTATAATAATTTCTCTCTTGACACCTTCAACCTAGAAAAAAAATCATCATAAACATAGGACCTTTACTTGAATAAACACACCCTCTAAAACCTTAGACAATTCAAAAAAATTCAAACAAGCCTAGTATCGACCTGAAAATTTATAATAATTTTTCTCGTGACACCTTCAAGCTAGAAAAAAATCATCATCGGCGTAGGGTCACGGGAACCACCCCTTTATTGAAATAAACACACCCCTCAGAATCTAAAAAAATTCACAAAAATTCAAACAAGCCTAGTATCGACCTGAAAACTCGTGGCAATCTTACTCGTGACACCTTCAAGCTAAAAAAAATCATCATCGACATTGGGCCACGGGAACAACCCCTTTATTGAAATAAACACACCCCTTAAAATCTAAAAAAATTCAAAAAAATCTAAACAAGCCTAGTATCAACCTGAAAATTTATAATAATCTCTCTCGTCGTACTTTCAAACTTGAAAAAAAAAATCATCATTGACATAGGGCCAGGGGAACCACCCCTTTATTTAAATAAACACCCTTTAAAACCCTAAAAAATTCAAATAAATTCAAACAAGACTAGTATCGACCTGAAAATTTATAATAATCTCTCTCGTGGTACCTTCAAGCTTGAAAAAAATCATCATCGGCGTAGGGCCACGGGAACCACCGCTTTATTTAAATAAACACCCTTTAAAACCTTAAAAAATATAGGTATGCCATCCAAAAGAATGAAATGTGTTCGTCTCAGTCCTGCTGATGATCAAAGACGACTTGCGACAAATGCCTGATCAAGGTTCTGTTCATGCGTTCCACCATTCCATCGGATTGCGGATGTAGCGCCGTTGTTCTAGTCTTTCGGATCCCCACCTTCCGTCAAATTTCTTGGAATAGCTTGCTTTCAAAGTTTCTTCCTTGATCTGAATGTAGTTCCAAGGACACTCCAAACCGGCTGATGAATTCCTTCACCAAGACATCGGCTATGGTGACAGCTTTTTGATTGGGGACTGCATAGGCTTCTACCCACTTGGTGAAGTAGTCCATTATTATTACGATGTAGTTCTTACCAGCTTCGCTTTCTGGTAAAGGTCCCATCACATCTATGGCGATTCTCTCGAATGGGCTCCCCACGATGTATTGCTGCATGCCGGCTCTCTGTTTTGGCACCAATCTCTTACATCATCAGAACATGACCCAGTAGAATCGTTCCCGTACCTTCTGCAACGTCTTCTTTTCACCCAGGTGTCCTCTGGACGTCCCATCATGAATATGTAGTACAATTCCTAGGAACCAGCAGCTGGCTCTTGGATTCGGTGCCTTCGGCATTTTCGATGACTCTTTAGCAAGCCGTTCTCAATCACCAAGGAATTCTACTGTGCCCAGTATGACTTCAAAATCGGCGATGATGACGACCCTTCTTGCCAGGTTGGTCGACGATTTGCTGACTTCTATTCCATTAGCCTTTTAAGGTCGGGGTCGTTGACTTGATGCTCTTGAATTCTCCCTTGGATCCATTCTTCACTGACGACTTTGACCTGGTACAGGCTGGCATCTTTCTCTTCCATGCGACTACAATGGGAGCAATTTGCTTGACATGGTCTTCTGGAGAGTGCGTCGGCATTACGGTGACTTGTACGGGGGCGGTGTTCGATCTGGAAGTCATATTCTTGAATTTTTTCTAACCACCTTGCGACTTGACCCTCAGGATTCTTAAAATTTAGTAGCCACTTCAAACTGGCATGGTCGGTTCGAATCAAGAGCCAGGAGCTCTCGCCTGGTAACACAGTAGTTACGTTCAGGTTTAGATAATGTCTTGTTAAAGTACCCAACGACCCTTTCTCGGTCATCCTGGAGCTGGGAAAGAACGGCACCAATTCCCACGTTGCCGGCGTCGGTGTCGAGAATGAACTTTCCTTCAGAAAGTGAATAGCCCAGGATCGGAGCTGATGTCAACTGCTTCTTCAAAGTGTCAAAGGCAACTTGGCATTCTTCATCCCAGCTGAATCTTCTAGCTTCCTCAGTCATTCGTGTTAGCGGTTTGGCGATGTCCCCAAACATCTTCACGTAGCGGCGATAATAGGAACAAAGCCCCAGGAAGCTCCGTAGTTGATGTTTGTCGGAAGGGATTGACCATTCCTGGACTACGTGGATCTTGTCTGGGTTTACAGCTATACCTTCCCCGCTGACTACATGCCCTAGATAGCTGACCTTAGTCTGAAAGAGATGGCACTTCTTCACGTTCAATGTCAGATTGGCTGTGTGAAAACCTCTTCGAGATTCGTCAAATGTTCACTCCAGAATGATGACGTCATCTAAATACACGAGGCAGATTTCTCAGGATAAACCTCAGAATTTTCTCCATCAGTGGTTTTAAGGTGGCTGGAGCATTGCAAAGACCAAACGGAAGTAGCGTTAACTGCCACAGGCCTGTTCCGCTTGTGAAAGCCGTCTTCTTCTTGTCGGCATGATCCATTTCCACCTGTCAGTAACCACTCTTCAGATCCAGAGTAGAAAACAACTTGGAACCTGCGAGTGCGTCGTCGATTCTTGGCAGCGGTAACTCTCCTTCCTGGTGACTTCGTTGAGCTTGCGGTAGTCAATGCAGAACCTTGTCGAACTATCTTTCTTTTTCACAAGAACTATTGGAGAGACCCAAGGGCTGTTTGAAGGTTCTACCACTCCGTCTTTTATCATTCCTTGGAGAGTGGTTTCTGCTTCTGCCTTCTTCACCTTGGGAAGTCGTCGAGCAGCTTGACGGATAGAACGAGCATCCCCAGTGTCGATCTTATGTTTTACCACACTGGTTCTTCCTGGTTTGCCATCTGATGAACCAAGAATGGAATGGTAACGGTTAACTAGGTCTTTCACCTTCCTTTGTTGCCGGGACAGGGATGGAGGGACGATGGTTAGAATCTGACTGAGCTTGTTCGAGTTCTGTTCTTTCTTAGGGTTCGCTCGGTGGATAACTTTGGTTATCGGTTCGAAGGTTCCTACTTGAGTGCCTCTCCTGAGGGTAACTAGACGGTCGTTCAGGTTGATCAGAAGTACTGGCACACTTGAAGCGGATTGGATCAGTGCCTTACTAACAAGAATGCCCCGACCCAGCACCTGGTCATTATTTCTGGGCTCCACCTTAGCTGCAGTCGAGTCTTCTATGGCCCCATTCAGACGAGCTACGACTATGGACTCACACCTTGCTGGTAGTTCGACATCCTCAGCTAGCATCACCTCCGCGATGGCTGTTTCGCGCTGATGTAAAATTAATTCCTCGGAACCGACGTGGATAACTCGATATTTCAGATCTAGTTGGAAGCCTTAGGAATTCATGATGTCCATTCCTAGGATGACATCTTCTTCAATGTCGGCTACTAAGGCTGGGTGCGAAACCTGGGTAGAGCCAAACATAAGTATTACGTCTACCTCGCCGTGGACCTTTGCTGCTTCCCCTGTAGCGGTTCGTAGTCGCCATCTGGAGGGCGACAACTTCTTTTTCTTGACGACTCTTCGGCGAATGATGGTTTTCGGTGCTCCGGTATCCACCAACATTCAATACCTCTTACCGTCTACTGTACCATCTACGAAGATGCTGTTGGGTCGGTGTCTTACTGAAGTCTGGACGAGTAGAGGGTCTTGCAGGCTGCTTGGGATCGATGTCGCCCTCTTGGAGTCGACCCGTTCTAGTTTTCCTGCTGTTCAGGGTCATCTTGGAATGTTTTCCCGTGACGTTGGCATGCGTTTCTAACGTGTCCAAGTCCAGTCCCCAACATCGTACCTCTGAACGGGCTGGTGACAGCTGCGACTCGGCCGTGGGCGCGGGACGCTTCAGTTGCTGCTTCAAACTCCAATGTCGTTGACAATGCATCCACGAGGACTTTGGGACGGGCTAAGCGCAGCGCTCTCTGCAACTCTTAGTCTCTTAAGCCGTCGATGAATGCCTGGACAGCTATGCATTCCAAAATGCTTTCATTGGCTGATGGATAGGCAAAGCGCACCATTCTCGCAACTTCTGCTTCAAACTCCTGGATGGACTCACCTGTTTTTGCGCCGAGACTGGGAGATTTGCTCTAGTTGCCCATACCTCATCTCAAGGCGCTTCACCAGTTGGCCGAAGTCTTTGAACTCGTCGGTATGGAGGGTCTGTCGCACATCAAAGGTATCACCTTGTAAGGTAACTGTTAGAGTCACCGCCTTCTCTCTGGAGGACCATCCATTGGCACTGGCCGCAGCGTTGAACTATTTGAGATAGTTGGGCCAGGAAGTTTTGTCGTCAAAAGTTGGTGGCTTTATTCGTGCTCTGGCCTCACCTGCTCCGTTAGATTCTTGGCGCTCTACACCACTTAAAGTTTAACGGGAGAATCGTTCCTCTATTGTCTGCAACTTGATTTCGAGGGTTGACAAGCTGCTCTCTAACAGCTGTACCAGTGGATTGGGTTTTCTGTCTCTGCATAGGGGGGCTGAAAGATGGGAGACGTTATTTTGGATCTCACCTTCGAATGTCGGATATTTTTTCTTCTTGTTCGAGATATATCCGTGGACAGACTGGTCATCTTCTGGGACATTTCATCACGCAGGCTGAACATCTCCGTGGACAGGCTGGATATCTCAATGGACAGACACCTGGGAGAGATCGGAGAGGTTGGATATCTTTTGGAAGAGTTCGTCAGAGAGGTTGGACATCTTGTGAAAGATTTCGTTATGCTGGCTGGACATCTCAGTGGACAGGCTGGACACCTTCTGCGAGAGTTCATCAGTCAGGTTGGACATCTTAGCGAGATTTCGTCTCGGATCAGGGTCATGGTTTTCATGGAGGGATCTTCAAACTCTACGGTGTCAGGATCAACACTTTGGCTTTCATAATATTCTCTCAATATTGCCAGCAATATTGCCTTGCAACCCGCCGTATCTAGATCCAATTCTTCTAGCTCTCTTCTGAGCTCTGCGATCAACAACTGATTTATCTTTTTTCCGGACATCTTAAAAATCCTCACCCCCACACCTGAAACCAAATGTAACACGAGTGTGGGTGGAAACTATTTATTTTTCGAAACTACACAAACAAATAACAAAATAATTACAAATGGAACTGCAAAAAAAGGATATTTATCTTGCAATTTGTCTTCTGCTTTCACTGACTTTTCCTCCAAAATCGCTGTCACCAGAGAAAAGGTCGAGGCTTGCTACTGGGAAGCTAATCCGTTACAATATCTTCTGTTACATATGTTTCAGAAAGGCGTACGATATTAGGTTTTTTTGTTTAATTAAATATCTAATTTCATTTATATCCATAAAGTTTTTGTTTTCAATTTTAAGTATGCCGTCGATTTTCTCATATTATTACACATTACAATTGACTTTACTTTTTCAGTGATATGGATTCAGCTCGTAGTATCATCAACGTAATGGTCCAAGCTGGTTTAGAACCTAGCGCAGATAGTTACACAACTCTCCTCTGCGGATTCGCTTCTAAAGGAGATATCGATACAATTACAAAACTTTTCGGAGAATGCGAATCCAAGGAAATATTTCTACTAGATAAAGATTATCTAGACATAATTTATGCACTTGCTACAAACGGTCACGATGAACACGTTCCTGCCATTCTTTCCAAAGTTCGAAAAGCTGTAGGGTACAACCAAGATGCTGTTAACGTCATTTTGAGGTTAATTAATAAAGGTCAAGAAAAATCAGCATTTCTTATTTTGAAATCAATGCCTAGAGGTACAAAAGAAGACGGTTCACCTCAACCAACAGGCCATTTCTTCATTAAACAACTAGTTAAAGCTGAAAGACCTTTAGAAATAATACTAAACTATTGTACAATGTTGCAAAAAGAAGAAATGTACGACAGAGCTGTATTACTCGCTGCCGAAACAAGTCTACAACTTGGAAACGAAAAATTAGCCTACCCGCTTCTCGAACATTTGCAAAAAGAAGGTCAGCAAATAAGACAACACTTCTTCTGGCCTCTTATCTTGTCTAAAGCCGATGATCCAAGTGGAAGAGAAATTATAAACGTTTTGAGAAAGATGCAAGAATTTAATTTTACTCCTAATAATGAAACTGTTAGAGAATACGTTATACCCAACCTAAGAGGAAATACCAGCGAAATTTTGGCGTTGTTACGTGATGCTAACATATCAGTTGGTTCAGCTGCAGCAAGTTTGGCTATTTCGTTATTACAACGAAACAAAATTGACGAAGCAGCAGCCATAGCCACCACAGTACCTGCTTATTATAATCCGGAAATGATAAAAAGAGCTCTCACGGCATCTTTTTACAAAACAAACGACCTCCAATCGTATATTTCGATAATTAGAGCTGTATACGATAACAGCGAACGTAGACCTGTTAGAAACAAACAAGAATCGGATGAAGAGGAATCAACCGAGAAAGATGACAAATTAGAGGTCGTTGGTAGTTTTATTCTAGATTTAACATCGAATAGAATCAAATTTACTGAAAATATTGAGCCTGTTTTAAAAGAATTGGTTAATCAAGGATTGGGTATATCAAGTTCTGCAGCGGAAAAGATCGAAGACAAATTGGGCGAAAAAATGACCGATCAGATATCCGATTTGTTAGGAAAGCTTACTTCAGGGGAATTAAATCCGATTCCTTTAGATAGGAAGCCTCCTAGTTACACACCATCGCATCAAATGAATATAGCGCAGTTAGAAAGACTCATACACAATTTAAGTACGAAAAATCAGGATACGAAAGGATTAAAAAGACAGCTTTTAACTCTATATTACCGAGCTAAGGATTTAGAAAAAACCGAGAAACTCCTTGAAGATTTAAAACAAACCGATTTCGTTTTTACTTCAGGAATATACGCGCAACTGTTAGACCTTTACTCGTGCCATGACAATTTAGATAAAGCCATGGAATACTACGAAAAAACAAAAGAAAAAGAAGGCGACAAATTCGTATTGGACAATTCTAAAATAATCCGTTTATCTCAATTATTTTTCAAAAATAATCGTTACGAAGAAGGATTTAGTATTCTAGAAAACACGCCTCGAGATAAAAAGCAAGAAGAAAAAACTTTCACCTACTCCTCCCTAGTATGGAGGTTCTTAAATAGTTTAGCGGACGAAGGAAAAGTCGAAGAACTCGAAAGATTATTCGATACTTTAGTAAAAAAAGAATACATCGAAGTGAATAACGTTCTATTAGGACCGCTAATTAAAGTAAACCTCGTTAGAAAAGACGTCGAAAGCGCGCTGAACAAATTCCAATGGTGCGTCGATAATTTCAAAGCGACCCCGTGGAAAAACGAACTCGCTTGTCAACTCATACAAGCCGAAGACGCGGAAAAACTACAAAAACTCACAGATCTAAGCACTTCGGTGCACGGAGAGGTGAATAGTTTATACGATTTGGTATTCGCATTCGTCGAATGCGGTCGCATTCGACAAGCGAGGAAAATACTAGAAACGCCCGGATTACAAAACAGACCGCAACGAATTAACTCCGCTTGCGAGAGATACCAACAAGAGGGTCTTATTAAACCTTTAGAAGGTCTAAAAGATGCTACAAGAGATCTGAATCACATCGACCGCACCGATATCTATTACCAACTATTATTGAGTTATAAAAAACAAGATGACGTAGAGAAAGCTTTGGGTTTGTGGACGCAAATGCAAGAAGAAGATTTAGCTCCGAACGACCAATTCCTAATTACTCTAGGTACTTACCTTCAAGAAAAGGGATTGCAGGTTCCGTTTGTTTTACCAGCACAACCTCTAACGAAACCTGTTAATACGGATGTACTTCCTGAAAATACTCAAACGGTATTTAGACAAGCTTTGAGAGCTGGAAAGATTAACGAAGCTCTAAAAATAAAGAAAATCATGAAAGAACCGGCTTCGGTCGTCGATCTATCGACGCTTATCGAACTGTTGTTACAAAACAATAATATAAAAGATGCCACTAAATTAACCATGGAGATACTAGAAAGAGGAAAGGGAAATCTACCGGTGAATAGAGTGTTTAGGTTTTATTTGAATAAATTGGCGAGTAACGGTGATATTGATACGTTGGAGAAAATCGGAAGTATGATTAATTCTGAAGTGAAAAGGATCGTGTCGTTTGATAACAGATTGTGTCATGCTAATTTGGTGGCTGGTAAAGCGGAAGAATATTTGAAGAAGCTGGATAATGATATAGAAAATGTGAAGGAAGAAGATCTTCCTATACTTAGTGAACAATTTCCTAGAGGTGGAGCGTATGGTATTTTGGAAAATTTCCCGGATTTAACAGAACAATGTAAGTACAGTTAAATACTTTTTGCATTCATTATCTATCGGAATTTATTATTATTAGAACGTTACATTTTTATTTTATTTCTTTTGCCTTTTTTATTACTTTCTTGTCTTTATATACAGTTAAATATCACAATTGTAGATAGTGACCCACATTTTTAACATAGACCTTTGTGGGTCTGAGGGGAAAGGAAATCGACGAGTCTATAAGCGTACGATTATTATTAAAAATGATCTTCAGCGTTTTAGAACGCATTGGTTGTCACAAAAATTATTTTCCTACTTTAAAGATGCACAAGATGTGGAAAACCGGTAATAATAATTATCGAATAAGTATATATAAATTCAAATGTATATATGAGCCCTGTCTCAGTGAGGTTGGCTCAACTGCCAAAACTATGTTTTTTAAAGAAATTTGCAATATTAACGTAAAACATATTAAAAACTATAATATTTCTGATAACATATGATATGTTTAATTTTAGCCTAAAATACAAAACAAACAAAAAATAGATAAATTTAAAAAACTATATTAAAAAAATTACAAAACCAAATAACAGCAAATTACCACTGCGTTATATCGCCTTTTCGACTGATCACTGATTCGATACACCCATTGGCTCCATTCTTTCTTGCAGCCCAGCTCTGTGGTTTTGAAGTTTTTCACACAACTGTACTTCTTTAGCATTTCATCCTGGGGCATGTCCCAGGTATTTTTAGTCCTGAAGCAAGTAGACTTTCGTCTGATTACTCCTTGATCATTCTATATCGTGTCCTTTTTGCCACATTCTCTATCATCAAATGTAGAGGGGTGAGGTTTAAGATCACCTTCATTGCGGCCGTAGGACAGGTTCTCATTGCACCAGTAATGCAAACACAGGCTAGTCTTTGTACTTTTGAGACATCCATCGCAGTATGTTTGGGTTACATCCCCATCGTTTACCTGTAATGTTTCTGCATACCATTAGGGCTTTTGTGGCCTTATTTACTACTTCCTTCTCATGTGTGTTCCAGAGAAGTTTGTTGTCCAGGATTAGGCCTAGGTATTTGCCTTTATTTTTTCATCCTATATCTATCCTGTCTAATTTAACGGTTTTGAGATTAAGTTTTCTTTTCCTTGAGTGTTGTTTTTGTAGGGTTTATACTAAGTCCCACTTCACGGCACCATCTTTTGGACTATATCACACAGGATATTACTAAACTTGCCACTATCAAATATGACTATGTCGTCGGCATAACCTTGACAGGGTATGTCGAGGTCAGTCAATCTACATAGAAGTTTGTCTACGATTAGGCCCCACATTAGTGGGGATAGAACTCCTCCTTGTGGACATCCTTTGGTTGTGCAGATGGAGATGGTGTCCTGCCCTATCTGTGTCTCTGCAGTTCTCGTAGATAACAACTGAGCCATCCATCTGGATGTGATGTTATCTACTCCTCTGTATGCAAGTGCTCTTTTTACAGATTCGTGTGGCGTGTTGTTAAAAGCTCCTTCTATGTCTAGGAAGACACACACGGCCGTTTCTTTGTTTGTCAGTGCATCCTGGATTACATTAGTCAACTGTACCAGGGCAGTTTCTGAAGATCTTCCTGCTCGATACGCGTGTTGGCTGTGGTGGAGTGGCACCCTCTCCAGGACTTCCGTTCTGATATAATTATCAACAGCCTTCTCCATTGTTTTTAATACAAAGGATGTGAGGCTGATTGGTCGGAAGGATTTATAATGTGTGGTATCCTTTTTCCCTACTTTTGGAATAAAGGTGACTCTGGCCCTTCTCCATACTTCTGGTATATATCCCAGCTCCAGACTGCTCTGGGATAGCCGGCTTATGTGTGGTAGTAATTCCTCCTGTACCTGCTGAAGCAGGGCAGGAAATATTCCATCCACACCTGGAGACTTAAACAGTTCAAAAGTGTTTACGGTCCACTTTAACCGATTTCTGCTGCATATGTGTTTGGCCACTATAGCGGCCTCTCCTGGGGGCCTACCTACCTTAATTGTGTCCCTTATTAGAAAAGGTGTGCTTCCAGGAAAGTGAGTTTCGAGTAAGAGCTGAGCTCTTTCCTCCTCACTCTCCGTGAAGCTTCGATTTGGTCATCTATTCCTAACCTAGGAATCTGGTCTTTGGCCTCGTCTTTTTGGATGACGATTTTCCATAGTGTGGTCGATAGTCCCACATTCTGTGCTTCTATTAACTGTAGAAGCTTCTCTACAGGCTGCCCTTGACTTCTTGGGAGAAAGAGCGTGGGTGTATGTGCTTTCGGGATGTCGTCTCCCGCACATACCTCCAACTCCACTCCCTTCCAGTTGCTCAGGTGTGGGATTTTTGCCCCGAGCCATTCTGCTGACTGTGGGGTTTCACAGTCATTCAAGAACATTCCTGGCTGGAAGTGGATGCCTCCGAATTGGAGCGTATGCTCCCATCCAGCGAACATCTGTTCTACTATGGCTTCTTCCACCAAGGTTTGTTCGTTCGCACTGAGGATGGTCTCAGGGAACCCCTTAGGTAGGATCACGACCCGCTCCGTCTTCACGACAGTTGCATAACTGCCAGATGCGGAAGTATCGGCCACTTTCCTTTTCTTTCCTTTGCGGTGGTGTGGTGTTATTCCCGTCCCGCTTTCTTTTCAGATCCTTAGGATTGGTTTTACTTCCCTCTCCCTGGGATTTGTGCTCCACAGCTTTCTTTTTCGCTTCCTCCGGTGTTATAATTACGAAAACTATTTTGCCGTCCAAAAAACAAATGCTGTATCTACTGAGAGCGATAAGTGAAGAAAATGGGATTTAAAGTTATTTCTTTAGCTCTTAAGTATTCAGAGCTGGCTAATTAATATGTTGGATTTTTAATATCTTGGAAACCTATACAGCATTTTTGCTTGGTAAAAAGTTAATTTAACTTTCCACGAACCCATTGATGCAAAAATATTAAAATTCGATTTTTTGTAGATACAGCATCTGTTTTTAGGACGGCAGTATTGTGTTCTAGTTAGACAAAAACTTAAATTTGAAGTTAAGGTATGGATGGGGGAACATCCAACTAATCTTTATCTTTATTTCAAAAAACTCCATATATACCCAGACTATAATCTTGTTAGAACTGCAAACTTAAGGAAATAATTTAAAATACCTTCTCTTCACACCAGAAGGAATGTGATATAAAATTATTAACTATAAAATTAACTCACCTGAGCTACTATACTTAATACAATTTAATATACCTGAGAATGAGACATCTATGTATGGTTAATATTTCTTTAGACTGGACACTACCATTTAATATGTTCCGAAAACTTGTATTTAATTATTACATTACACTTAATTAATTTTAATACTGAATAAGTTGTAATATTAGTTGTAATTATCTACTGTTTATTATTAATATTATTATTTATGTATTATACTTTTATCCATGTAATAAAGCCGTTGGTCTGTTTGGGTATAAATAAATTTAAACTAGCCGATTATTATTGCAAAGTTTGAAAACTTTTGTAATTAATGTGGAATGTTCAAAATAAGATGTCTTCATTGACTGGCCTAAAGTACGAATATATGGGCTTTTAAAATTTTTGAAATGTTGGTTATAAATTTCCATCCATCTTGCAGTTGTAACCCATTTCACTTTTGCACTGTTTAAAATTGTGTACAATACCAGAATAAGTATGAAAGTCATAACTTTTTAATGTAGATTATTTAATTTGTTTCAGATGAAAATTTGGCTATAAAATATGCAAAAAGAGGAATAGTAGGACCTTTAAACGTATTATGGACGCGATATTTTATCAACGGAAACGAAACGAAGGCCGAACAAATTTGGAATGACCATTTAAAAAATTCACCCAGGATAATGTTCCAGAAAATAGTACAAACAGCGAGAGACGAGAAAAATGAAAATCTAGCAAAGAAGTTAATACAGCATTTAAAAACGGCTAGCGTTTCAGAAGGGGCCATCGGCAACGCGTATAGTTGTCTATTAGATGTTTTAGTTAGCGAAAACAAATATGACGAAGTAGTGAATACCTTCGAAGAAGCGACTAAAATAGTATCGCTCGATAATTTAAATAGAACAGCGGTAGTTAGAAGTAAAGAAGCTTTCGAGAAATTAGGAAAACCTTTTAATTTTATAGTTCCATCTAGAAATAAAAAGTTTACGCAACCTAATACATTAGATGAATTATCATAAGTTACACATGTATTAATTAGTAGATGTATATAATTGTATTTATGCTAAAATTAATTTGGAGAAGAGATGGAACACATTAAATGACTGTCAGAGTTGCCTAAATAACAATTTAAAATCAAAGTTGAAAAAGATTTTTAAAATTGTCACTTTTCAATTGTTTATTTACTTTTGTCATGATGTGAATAATTTTAAGGAATAAGTAACTTTGGCTTAGAAATTATTAAATAATAATAATTACGGTTTTGAAATTTTGTTGGTTAGGCAACTCTGGCACTGATTTTTTTTATTTTGCTCTTTTTCAAATATTCAAAACGTACTGGTTTTGCTGAAAAGTCAAATTAGCATTTAAGTTCCGACATAATGTTTATGTATTTTTTTTAATATACCTATTTCTTTCATTGTTTTTTAATTTTTTGTTTATAAATATTGTTAATACAACCTCTTCCCACTGCGGGTCATCAAATTTGTTTAGTCGCACCTAGAAGGTAAGGCGTGAATAAATATGTACTGGGTCCATATACAGGATGTCTGGGAAAATGTGAGATGTTTCTCGAATTCAGATAACGTAACTGTACCAATTCCTGACACCTTAAGGATTGATTTTAGATGTTTTTATTTCTAAAAATAATTATGAAGTAACTGTGGTATATTTTATGGGTGGAACAGTTAGAATAGGTAATGGCAATGATGCAATATTATTGATTTTGATTAATTATGATATTTATAATAATTTGCAAAATTTTGAAAAATTGTTTATTTTTGTCCACTACCTGACATAGCTTTTTTTGACTTGGCCCTAGGCCTGACTTTAAAAGAACCAATGCCTGACCCATTATATAAATAGCTCAATTATGATGTTCATGGTAGGGATACCAAATTAATTGCTTAAATAACCTTTAATCAAAGTTAAAATATAGACCTATATTATAAAATAAAATTTAATGAACACGCAGATACAATTATTACATTAGTTACAAATAAATATTCATTTCCTGCACAAAGTAACTACCTCTTGAATTTACAGGTCTTGGTTTTTCAATTTTTCTAATGACGTCCTCCCGTGAATACCATAAAACATCTTCATTTTCTGGCCATCTAAAGTTCAAACCGCTCTGTTCCATCGTGGTTACTAAATAAGATTGATTTTTTGGATCAATCTGTTTTATCTGACCGGGATAATATTTTCCATTGTATAATATTATAACAAAGTTTTCTTCTTTCAAAACATTTTTAGCTACTGTAGTTTCTTCAACTCTGTCACTATCTTCTGATAAAGGTTGATCCCAGTTATCTCCCTCAGATTCGATTAACATGTCAACGGAAGAGTCAGAAGATTCATCAGAAGTTGTACTCAATTTTCTGCGTTTTTTAATTTGTGCCTCTTTTCTTTGGAGTCTTTTGATAAGCTTTGTTTCTTCAATTTTTCTCTTTTTTTTCTTGTAACTTTAACAGCTTGGTTTGCTCTTTTAATTTTTTTCTCACGTTTTTCTCGTTCTATTTTCTCTCGCTCTTCTTCTTTTTAAAGTATATTTTTCCCTTTTCACCTGAAATTACTGAAGGTATGGGCTCTCTAAAAGCTCGCTTTTTAACAGTTTTTACTGTATTTTCAGGCAAAATAAAAACTCCCTTGAATGGACTTGGCATTTGAGCATTTGTTGTATATGAGCAACATGTTTCATTATTTCTTGTTTTCAATATATTTTTACTAGTACTTGCAACATCCTCAAAACTGTTGTTTTCCAATAAACCCACTTGTAATGGCTTTGAATTTTCTATCTCTTTGGATATTTCATTTTGCTTTGATTCTTTAGATGGAGGTGTGGTTTCAAATATATTTTGTTCTGTTTCCTCTATCTCTGTGATGTTTCTATTATTTTCGAAATCTTCATCAAATACCTCTTGTAAATTGTTTATTACTATGTTCTTCTCTGCCTGTTCTACTTCGTTGGCTTCTGTATTAGTGTTCACATCACATTCATCTTTTAATGTTTTCCATAGCATGTATAAAGATCTATCAACATTGTCAGGATCATCATTTTCAAATTTTTTAGTCATCTCTGTACCAATTCGGGATTGAATAAACTGAAAATGAATGCGCAACATTTCTTTGGATATAGTGGGTTTCTGCGCGTTTTGATTATTACTATTTCCTTTAAAGTATTTTTCGTAATTTACTGCAATTTTATCAAAAGGGAATAGTCCACAGCGCCGAATTCTTTATTTTAAACGAATGCACTGCTTGTTTCCACAATTGTTTTAGTGGCCGAAAGGCTGCTACATCCATTGGTTGGATGATATGTGTTGAATTAGGGTGAAGAGCTACCAAATATATCCCGTTTTCGCTGCAGAATTCGCTTAATGAGTAAGTCAAATGACGAATGTCCATCGACGAACAACACTACTGGTAATTTAATATTGTTCTGTATTAACCAAGGATGGAAAATATTTGCGATATACTCAAAAAAGTGATACTTGTCATCCACCCTGATTCCGTTTTTCCGACACTCCAATGATCAGGAAGTTCACTTATGATACTTGAAGGTATTCATTCATATTTAAATACTGCCATTGGAGGCATTAATTGACCAACAGCATTGCATCCAATCAAACAAGTGATGCACTCCTTTTCATCATTGCTGCTAAAAGAATAAACTGCCTTCTCTCCTTTACGAACTAAAGCTTTCTCTCCCTTTGGAGCTAAAAATATTGCCGTTTCGTCGACATTAAAAACCCTACTTGCGTCATCTAATATATCTAGGTTTTCTTTCAAGTCGTTCTTTACATCGTCAAACCATTTTTTCAAACACTCTTCAGTTACGGACGCCCTGGCTCTGCCCAAATGTTGCGTCATCCTCGGTGCTACTTCCGGGTGCCTTTTCATGAATAATTTGAACCATTTCTCTCCGGGTCTCCCGTTTGTAAATGATGTGTTCCTGTTTATTTTTTTTATATACATTTCAATTGAATCTAAAAGCTGAGATTTGGTAACTGGGAAGCCCCTATCAGCACTTGTGAACATCCAATTAATTATAATATTTTCTTCCTCTGGCATAAGATTAGTCTTTGGACCCATGTGCCGAATTTCTGGATACTTTCCCTTTACTTTGTAATAAAGTGTAGTTTTTGGCACAATAAATTGTTTTGCCGCAGCTTTGACTGACATTCTATTTTGCTTAACAGCCAATAGTGCTTGCTGCATTTGTTCATCTTGTGGTGCGTTTGATTTGATCATCGGAGATCTCCGAGCGCTGCAAACGCGTTTGAATTGACACTCCGAGAGATCCCTAAAGTTGTTGGAGACATGCTGTATATAATTTTAATAAGTTGTCAATTTTGACTGATAATTTTTGTAGTAAAAAGTCAATATACGTTCCTTCGAAGTTTCTTCTATTATTATAGAATTTTATTTTATGAAAAAGAACCTGGTGAACGAGGAACAGCGGGTAGCAGTTTCTGGCGGTTCACAACATTAAGTGGCGACCGTGACAGGACACCCTTTGATTTTCGTAGTCAGACCTATACGGAGTTTTGCAGCCGAATTTTGCAAAACATCTGTGGTTCGACCAAGTTTGTCTAACGATCGTCAACATGGAGCAGAAGAAGAAGCTTCGCGAAGCGCTGCGACAGGCTTTTACTAAAGTAGCAAATGATTTAGAGCTTTCACTACCACGAGGTGACAGTCGAGAAATTTCCGTAAATTGGGAGATGCTTCAACGGAAATTTGATTGTCTTGAAACGGTTGATGGTGAAATTGCGAGTAAGTTATTAGAATCGGATATCACGGAGAATGAGTGGATGAAAGAAATAGATTCTTGTGATATTTATCGTAAAGTATATTTAGAGCTGAAAATAAAATACGATCGTATTTTTCGCGATGATGTTAGATCGGTTCGTAGTAATATTCAGCAGTCAGTGACAAATGTCAGTTCTGAGGCATGTAAGCGGAAATTTAAATTGCCTTCTATTGAATTTAAAAAATATAATGGGGATATTAGGGACTGGTTTAAATTTTGGTCACAATTTAAAAAAGTTCACGAAGATAATGATATAGCCCCAGAAGATAAAATTGAATATTTGATTCAAGCTACCTTGCCTGGCAGCCAAGCAAGACAAATAGTAGAGAGTTTTCCACCAATAGCAGATAACTATCAAAAAATTGTTGATAGTTTGATCTCAAGGTTTGGTAGAGAAGATCTAAAGATCGAAGTATATGTTAGGGAGCTATTGAAACTTGTTTTAAATAATGCTTTAACAAAAAACATCGTGAACCTCTTTAATTTATATGACCAAATTGAAACACAGTTGCAAGCACTTGAAACTCTAGGCGTAACTTCAGATAAATATTCTGCTATGCTTTATCCTCTCATTGAATCTTGTATACCAGATAATTTATTAAGGGTATGGCAAAGATCAACGGAGTTTAAAAGTAGTCGCAACACTGGAGTTACCGATAATATTCAAATTTCGCCAAATATTGCTCATTTTGAAATTAGATTGAAGGGATTAATGTCGTTTTTAAAAGGTGAAGTGGAAAATGAACAGCTTATTTTATTAGCTAATGAACGATTTGGTTTTAGTTCTGAAACCAACAAATCCACTTCTACTAAGAAAAAAGACTTTAACACCACTTTGAGTACACCCACTGCCACTGATCTACCCAGCTAGCACATAACGTTGCCAAGCCTTTCGGCGATGTTGCATTAAGGGAACGTAATAACATTACTGTACAACGTAAATGCAACGTTCATGAGAAGTTGTTGAGGGAAATCAAAACCTCGCAAAACTTCTATTTGTTATTTACCTAGTTAACCTACCGTAAACATTACAAATCTGAATTCAGAACGTTTAGTTTTATGTAAATTGTCACTTGTCAGTTTTTCTTGTCAATTGTCTTTTTTAATGGTTTATTTTTCGACATCCAGAATTTATTTTATAAATAATTATTATTTATACATTCGAATAGATTTGGTAAGGGTCCACTATAAAATAGATAAATATTTTCTAAACCATTGTCTTTGTTTCAGATTACAATGCCTGATGTAAATTTATTATTTCATTCATTAAGTATCTTTAGCAGTCGATGCCGATGACACCAAATAAAAAAAAACTACAATAAATACAAAGAATTGCAGATCAATCGTTGTAAACCAGAAGATAAACATTTAACCGAATGTCCGGCAACATTTTACACCAAATACTTATAAAAGGTAATTATACTTTATCGAACTAAAAATACATTTTAAAAATATTATTTTTTAGGTTTCCTTCGACATTCTAGGAATTTTAGAAGCAAAAGTAAATACTACAGAAGTGTGAAGAAGAATATAACACCTGAAGTTTTATAAAAAGTGAATCTATAGGTACATGATATGTCAGGTATA